TACAATGTTCAAACTGTTTATTCTGAGCACCTCTGCAAAAGCAGTATAATGTGGAGTGTGGGGGAAAATGTTGAATATGATGAAATATTTTTTTTTGGGGATTTTTTTTCTTTTTTTTGGGGCACCCTGCCCGGTGGGAGCGACCGACTTGTTGAAAAAAAAAAAAAAAAAAATTTCCAACAATATACTTGCCTCCCTCCCTCGCCCCGTCTCCATACACCCAAAAAGGTCTTCAATAAGGATAAGTGTGTTTAAATGTTAATTTATAATTTTATTAGTGCTTTACATTTTTTTGGGATTCTTTTTCATGTAAATCTATAAATTTTAAATTGGAAGGACCCCTGAAAATGATAGGGTCCGTTGGAGGGCCCAAATTTTCCACCACGATTTCTGGTGAGCGGTTCGGGCATCTCCTTGGGACCACACTGATTTCAAAGCCATGATACAAAAAGGACCCACAATGAAAGGTTAACGAATGAAAGTAATGAGGACTGTCATGTGACGCTTTGTTTTTTTCGGGCTTATCCAGATGGCCCAATTTGTTTGGTTGAAAATAGGGCAATGTCTGAATACTGAGTCAAATTTTTCCGAAAAAAATTGGCGGATTTGAGTTGAGAATATAGGGATGTCAATGCGATGTTCCCCTGTCAAGCTTTTTTTTGCAAAAGTATAAAATGCTGAGGAGCAAAGCAGTAGGCTTATTCCATGTTAGGCATTTTTTTTCAACCCCAACCGTTCTCACCCAAAATTTTTTTTTAACTTATATTTCCCCCCCCGACTGTCGCAATCCTAAATCCTGAGGTGTCTCCTGATGTTGCAGAATCCCCCCCCCCCCCTGAAAAACAAGAAAATAAGTAATGCACAAAAAAATAAAACAACTTACCTTACCTTTACTGAAGGGCTTCTGGGGGATGGAAGATGGGAGGAGGGGATAGGGGGAAGGTGTACACTATTTTTTGGAAGGAGGAACTCCTTCCATTAGGGCTTCAGGTATGAAATCCTTTTCGGGGTTACTTCCCTTTGTTTTTTAAAGACAGGCACTGGGAACAATTTAGAGTCACTGGAACCCTGTCGCACAAATATTGTCCAGAGAGTTTTTGTTTTTTTTTTTTTTTTTTTTTTTTTTTTTTTTTAAAAATTTTTTTTTTTTTTTTTTTTTTTTTTTTAAATTTTTTTTTTTTTTTTTTTTTTTTTTTTTTTTTTTTGGGGGTTTATTTTTTTTTTTTTTTTGGTTAAAATTTTTTCCCCTTCCCCCCCCTTAAGGGAAAAATTTTCCCCCAGTTCCCCAAACGGTTTTTCCTCCCTTGGGGGCCCCCCTTCAAAACCCCCTTTTTAAATTTCCCAAATTTTCACCGCAAAATCCAAACATGCCCCAAATTCCTTAATTTAGAAGGAGGATTTAATTCTTTCCAATTTTGGGCATTTTCTGGCAGGTCCTTTTGCCTTTTTTAAAAGCTTTTTTTGAGTTTTTTTTAAAAATTTTGTCCTGTGGTCCCTAAAATTTATTACAAAAACTTCACCATTTAAAACAAATCCCATATTTCCCAATTTGGGGGTACGGGCTTGTTCCCGGGGCCAAAATTTTTTTAAATTTCTTCACCCCTGGGGGCCAAAAATTTTAAAACCGCAGGGAAAATCCCTTTTAAGCCACTTTGCCTTTCCCAAAAATTACCTTTAAGTTTTTTTCAATGGGATTTGAGTGATCCCAGAAATTTCCTTTTTCCCCAAATTCCTGGTTTAAACCACTTCAAAGCTTTTTGGGAACGTT